CGTTGCCTGGATTAAACTTATGAATATGTAATTTTCAGTTGAGAAAAAGCAAAACCGTATGCTGTCGGTTTACTGAAACTGCACACATCTCGTTTGCTGCACGTTTTAATGGGTTAATTTTTATCTGTAGCATTACACCATAGTGCATTTGCATGTTTTAATTATATCACTTGAAACTTTTTGTTCCTGGCTACAGTAGTTTTACAGGAGGAAACTTAATTAAGAACAGCGATGCCTGTACGTTTTGTTAGGTACCTAATCGGTGAATATTATTAATAGCCGACATCTTCCGCAATAGACTTCCGACGAAACAATTAACGGGACGTGGAAGGAACAAACGCAGTTCTGTTGACGAGTCTATGACCGGACTGTTTGAATGGGTATTCATACGGATGTGTGTAAATTGCGAAATCAATTATCACTGTCTAATGGATCTACGGCCAATGTATTGATAACAATACAAAAAATCTAATTTTCTGGACTGGCCTGCTGAAATAGAATGCAATATAAACGTACCACGAAAACGCTTTATGACAACCAGGCTATTATAATAAACGTACAATTTGCACTCACACACAGTTTATGTTTCATTACGGTCATTTTTTCGGAAGTGAAATACTATTCGTTTTGTTTCATTTATGCTTTGTTTCTCCTAAATGGGTCATAAATTACCAAACATTTTGTCGCAGGGTACGCTCATTCAGAACAGTTTGGAATAAATGTTGCTAAAGTACCAAAATGACCGTACGGGTAGGATTATATTATCGAGCAAGGTATTCACGGGGTGATTAAATGAGGCTAAAAAACTCCAAAACTACCCTTAGCCTTATTTAATTTTAATCATTACAATAAATAAATCTTAAACACTAGGGAAGTATAAAATTTGGAAATACCAATATCACTAGTATGGAATGAATGATAGTGTAGCGACTGTTCCAGAAATCACGATAGACATCGAGGCGCGATAAAAGATTAGTCATCGGCGATAAAGAACGAAGGCGGATGTGGCAACATTCGGAAGCACTCGAGTTTGCAAATCGAATTAAGGTACGGGACAGTTCTACTTTAAACGATGAAGTCATAAATAGTTCGCGTTGTTATAAATGGTGACTTTGCGAGTGATAAATACTATTTTATCTGTTATAAATTAATTCGTTTCAAGACTGTTATAAATGTAATGTTAATTAATAGTAAATAAATAAAACACGTAATTAAATTTACGTTACGGGTGAAGCACAAGGGGTGGGAGGTCCAAAACTTGGATTCTTAACCACCAGCTATTCCTCAATGACATGCAAAAAAAATGGGACCTACTTCTCGTTTTGCAGGAAATTGTCAATTTTCAGTCTCTATTTCCCGAACTATAAAGAAAGCTGAATTAACCTTTGGACGTCACCTTGATCTATTTCCCAATGTCGTATCCAGGAGCGAAACAGCGGGAGAGCGACCTGTGATCGATAGTTTGAACTACTTTCCGAAACCGAGTAAGCCTTCGCCTTCGCAGTGTCTCCGTCAGGAGCTAGCGATATTTGAGCTTAACCTTTGCCAACTTCCCAAAGTCGTCACAGAAGCGACCGTTAAAGATGCACATTGATCTACCTTTTAAGGTCACAATCAGGTGGTGAGCGACCTTGGACTGAACAAGAACCGGCCCTATAGTTATAATGGTGACCTTTGAGCTTCACTTCTACCTACCTCCCAAAGATACCACCAGGGGTTCCAAACTACATTTGAACTTCACCTTGAAGTGTCGTCTTTTTCAACCATATTTCGTTATAGGGCAAGGATGCTATAATAATATAAGGATTGCTCGATCACTGAATTTTTCGTCGCGTGTAGTGACGTCACTGGCGGACCCAGACGCACCGCATGCTTTGATTTTTAGATTTGTGCACCACTTTCATTTGTATTTTATATCATGTAAGATTCTAAGAGCTCCTTCTCACGATGCGTTTTTGAAACGCTGCGCAGAGTGGAAATTTTCTTCGAAAAAAAGATACGGTTATGCGAAAATCTCAGATGAGTAAGAACTGAAGTTTATAAGTCTCTTCTGTACAATTTCTGTTATAATTTTGGAGTTTGCCACACCGTGCTACAATGGTTTTTACCACACAATATGAAGTGTTTAGCCTAATACAGCTTCGCCTTCCTTCAACGGTCAAACTACAACCCCCGCATATCAGTAATAACAAACTTAGCTTTATATACAAAATATCAGTACACAAGTATGTACGCTCTTTACTAAGGCACAAGTAAATCAACTCTCCTCAAACCACACACCATTTTTTAAAAAAACGACGCCCCTTCTTGGTACATGCGCTTTCGTTGCGTGAAGGCGCTTCTGAAAAGCGCTTCGTGCTACTTGTGGCGCTGCAAATCGTACCGTGTGAAGAGGTCACGCTATCAGCCGCTTAAGCCTGGTAAGAAGCGGCTCTAATACGTCCAAATGGATGTAGGTAGGTATTTAAATTAGAAACACTTCCCATTCACCGTCTACAAGTCTACAAATTCTCTTTCGGTTTTTTGCCTAAGTACTCAAAATGCCGTGAACCCATTTCATCCTGCGTTTTTGGTTTTTGTACTCTTCATCATCCATGGAAATTGCAGCTAAATCAGTTTATTTCAACTTTGTCCATCTTAAAATAACGATTTCTCGACGTTCTTCTTGACACTGCCTAAAATGAACGCCAGTTAAGTGTAAAATGTGAATACTACCCCAAATTGTTATTACAGTCCAATACTGATGGCGGCGTCCAAGCATTTTTGTTGCAATATAGCGAACATATACACACAGTTATAACGCTAATGCAAAAACGTTGACAACTTAGCAAATTATAACTGTCAATTCTGACAGTCAGGTCCGTTGGTGACGTCACATATGACTTAAACTCGGGCAACATTACAAGTATAGGGATCGAGCAATCCTTATATTATACAGCATCCTTGGTTATAGGGATCGTGTTGCGTGCTGGATTAAAGACAACATAGTGCAAAAATGGTAACTTTCACTCTTTTTCTAGAACAGGATTCAATTGTTGCTATTTTAATCAAACAATCGAACGTACATTTAAGTTTCACCTAGACCTACTTTACAAGTTGCCAATCGACCTTTAAACCTCACCTTAACCTACAAAAAATGATACCATTGACCTCTGATGACCCTGAAGATGACAACACAAAAAATGGAGTCACTGCGATTTGGAAGAAATCAATCTTTTAGATTCACCTTAACTTATTCTTCAAGGTAACCGCAAGGTGGCGAGCGACCTTGAATTACATCTCCATCTCCATACCTTCTCAAAGCTGAAGGAGCGGTTTGAATAACGAAGACGAAGTCTCGCCCATAAAAATATACGCTAGAAATATATCAGAATAACCATATAAAAATTGTAGTTCCAACTCCCGTATGCTATGAACGGAGGTCATTGAACTTTGATAATTTTGAAAGTGAAATATGTATTGCACACAAAAAAACTTCTGATAACCTTAAAATAAAATATGACACCACACAAAAATGGAGTCATCGACCTCTGACACCACAGAAAAATTGGGTTATTGGCCTCTGATAACCTTGAAACTAGAATATGGCATCACAAAAATTCGGGTCATTGAACTTTGATAACCTTGAGGAAGAAGTATGGCACCACAAGATGGGATGATTGACCTTTGAAGACGGGTGATCATTTTCTTGATCTACTTTCCAAGGTCACAAACATTCCAAAGTCAACAGAAGAACAGTGCTCGGGGGAAGGGGCAAGTGCCCTTGTGTCTCACTTTGACATACTTTCCAATCTCACCGCCATGGGGCAGGTGACTTTTGAACTTCACCTTGACCCAATTTTCAAGGTCACCGCCAGGTGGTGAGCGACCTTGAACAGTCCAAGTTCGCCCTTGTATCTCTACTAGCATTACACCAGAAAAAAGGACTACTAAGTTTTTGCTGTCAAATTTGTGTCCAAGGTGGATTGACTTGTATATTTAAAAATTGAACATAGGAAATTGGTATGTTCGGACCCAAAATTGACATGGAGAGGGAATGAAGTTCTTGGTAAATAACACATACTTCCACACAGATCTTCATCTATTAACAGCCATTACAAAATTAGCAAAATGCAGAGTGGGCAATCAGAGATCAATAAAAATTATGGGTTACAATTCAGCTTCGTCGATCAAACATCACCTTTAAATGGGAAAGAACACCATTCCCAACTCTTTATGGGTTTGCGGAACGGTTTCGAAAACTTCTGTCTATCTAGTTCTGGAGGAATTGGGTCAAAAGTCAGGCACCCATACTTATTACAATAGCAATTTTTTATTGGACAAGAATAAATGAGTGCAGTTTTCAATTAAAATGGGGATTTCTTCTCTTCACTTTTTTCAGCAACCGTAGCACTAGGACGGAACGAAGGGTTTTGGGGATCCATGATTTATTTATACTGGTTGCAGTACTAGATCAATAGGTACTAAATCAACATTGTACTCTATCCGTTATATTCATGGGCACTATCAGTAAATAATTTTTTATACCTACCTTTGAATTTTTTGTTTGGTTTGAGATTTAATGGGGATTAGTATTGGGGTGCAATTCTGTGGACTACTAAGATATTCTGTTTCGCACTCCAATTAAAGGATCAGCGTATGTAAAAACGGATTGAACATGACTCTCACGGGCCTTAAGTTGGATAGAATCACTTGAAATTTTTAGTATAAGTTTAGTTAAAATGTAAGTACTTCTGGACAATTATTTCGAACTAGCCTTTGAGTTCCATAACTTAGGACTGTAGAGCTCCTCTATTTATGGTCAATTTTCGGCGCTCATTCTTAAATGGACATTCTGTGCAATGACTAAAACACAACAATGAATTATCTCCATATAACCCTTCTTCAACCGGTTCCATTAATTAAATATAATACCCTCACCCTTAACTATGTTCCTTGAAAATAGTAAATAATTGTATTTTGAGAGAGGAATAATTTACTAACAGAAAACTTTCTTGCAGGATATCGAGCGTTGTAGCGAGCTTGGCGACTCCAGCGCCTTTAGCGGATCCAAACGGCAATAACGATTCGGGATACGCGCCCAGTCAAACGGACACAATATTGTTGGAGAGTCCCAAAAAAACGAGGCATCAAATGAAAAAGAATGGGGCGACGTTTGACACTGAGTTAAAGTAAGTGTTAAGCATTTCTAATCTGATTATTAAACGTATGCCATTTTTCGGGGTAACCCACCCTCTCATTTTCACAACTATTTTATGTATAGAGCGAGTCTCCGTAGTAGTAGTTACAATAGTAAATGAGTTTGGTATATAGAATTCGCTGTAATTTACGGGCTTTTAGTAAACTAGTTTATTAATATCATTTTGTTACCCTTAATATTTGTGTACAGCTGTACACTTACATTCATTTACACTTTACAATGTGTACAAACTAAATTTATTTCATTATAGGAGAAGTTTAACAGAACTCGCTGTTAGATAGCATTTAAAGTTCGCTTATTCCTTCCACGTAGGCTGAATGCGAGAGAAAACTTTTTTTAATTTAATTTGAGCGGTGGTAGTACTTCGGTGGCAAATTTTTCAATCGATACGCCATTTAACTTTCAACGGAACTCGGTTAATAAGCGATTTGAGCCAATTCATCAAGCGTATTCATTTTCTTTGAGTGAAGTTTAAAATACTTTGATGGCTATAAAAAAATCATCTTCTTTTAAAGTGGAATTTAATTAATACCAGTTCCATAGAACATTTACGTCGAGTTTCCTTCCGCTCGTTACCGAACATTGTTGGCAAATGGTATTTTAAAGCCGTAGATTCAAGAACAAAAACCGATCGTACATTATTGGAATACTTTGCAGTGTTTTGAAGTAGTACAATAAAGTAGTGGCGACCTGAACATTGTTATAGGTTTTTATAACTGGTAGGAACTTCGCAAGCTGTGATTTGAAAGATATCCAAACGGAATATATCTGCACTCGCGGTTACCAATTAATGATTGAGCATATATTTGTGTTTTTCTTTCATACTAATTTAATTATTTTTTATTTTTTGGTATAAAAGAAATTGAGGCTTTTCACGACATATTAGAATTAGATGTGATCGACCCCTCTAATGGTGGTGGTCAAGTCCATTAATATTAATGGCACCAAAGAAAAATGGCACGTTTAGATTCTACGTAGACTATAGGAAGTTAAATAAGGTTCTGAAGCCTGATGCCTATCCGATCCCTTACATCTCCGCAATGCTAAACAAGTTAAAAAGTACATATTTGGTAGCTCCATGGACATCAATTCGCACAATGGCAAGTGCCAATAAGAGATAGTGCTCGAAAACTGACCGCCTTCACGATACCTGGAAGAGGACTATTTCACTTTAAATGCCCTTCGAGTTGGAGAACGCGCCTGCGACTAATTAATCAAGTTATAGGACCTGATTTTTACTATTCAGCAGCGACTAGCAGATGGAAATTCGACCCATGAGGATGGTTTGCGTTAACTCGTCTGTTCCCACACATCTCACTTCTTTTGTATCCCGCCTTATCCACGTGGTTACAAATACTTAGTTTCGTGTGAAATCCATGGCAATCAGAACAGTGCTTAGATGACGAACGGACTTGATGATTTCTTTTATGTTATCATTTGCGACAATTGGCGTTCCAGAGCGCGGTGCACTTTAGACATCAAAATATCCGGAATAGATGAAACCAAAGTGGTACGCAATTTGCTGTTACGTATAAAAACACAAAAATTAATAAAGAATAAAAAAATTCAATTTCATCATTTATTGATCTTTAGCACAAGTATACAGGGTATGCAAGAAGTCTCGAAACGGTTAATTATTTCCGTTTTCTGCAAATCTCTTTTTCGAATTGGGTATGTGTGTACTGTAAAGAACAAAAAAATTATTAACCAGAATGTCATTTATCTNATGCGGCAAAAATGAAAGAGGTTATTCCTTGGACTATTCTAATGATATTTTATCCTTTGATGATTTTTGAAAAAACGCATTCGAATAATGAGCCATGATAGAGGATTTCACAAACAACCGTTTAAGTAATAAGGGCAGAAATTACACGCCAATAGCCAAACGTCAATAAATCTTGACAAACTCGAAACAAAAGATCATCAATGACAGATATCAGGGAATGTGATTAACGTTTTTTACTTGATAAGTTCAACTCTTCAAAAATCTATTTCGCCTTGTATCTTCGCAACGAAGCGTTTTTTCAAAAATCATCAAAGGATAAAATAACATTAGAATAGTCCAAGGATAACCTCTTTAATTTTTGCCGCATGTTTACCAAACACCCTGTATAATAAATACGAGGCGAGGTGCCGTATGACACGAATCCCCTCACAAGGAATTTTACTTTATTTGTATCAGTATTATAACCGATTAGAAAAACATCACATGCCGTTAATTCCTATCTTCTATGTATTATGGTAATGGAGAAAGAATTTAAAAATAAAGGCGACTTTTGGACAGCATACCTCCCAAACAAAACATTTTCCACCCTCATTTTATTTGGAAAAAACGATAGTTTTAATCCGGGCTGCTTACGATTCTTTGACATACCTACCTATTCAGCACAGCACACCCTACCTGTAACAACTTTCAAGTTAAATTCGTTCAGATTTCAAATTTATGAGAGAATAAAACCCCCCATATTACAGGCATTACAGCATTAAATAAATACCAAATTGGCCGAAGTAAAGACGGTAGGCTTTGTTTTGATAAAAATTTAATTGAAAGCAATATCTACGCCTTTGTTTGAACAAATACCCAAATACGAAATGTATATTGTTCAAAGTATGTTTTGTCTTCAATTAATATCTACCCAAATCAAAGTAATGAAAACAAAAAATTTTGCCGAAAATTTCACACCCACCATTTTCGACCAATGAAATGCAGATTTCGTCTCACGTTATCATGGTAACCGAGGTATTTATCGGAAATTTTTGCCTGCAGGGGTAACCTAGAGCGAATTATAGTGGAAATTTTTTGACGTCATAAGAAAACGTTTTGACATAAAACGTCACTTACCCGCGTTATAAGAAAATATTCTAGCAGAAATAAACACAATTGGGGTAGATATTAAATCCATAATCATCCACAATCATTGCCAATTCCTTCACAGATATGTTTTCCCTATCGAATCCATAACTTTTTTCAGAGTAAAAGTCAGTAAACTGCTTCCAAACACTTCACTTGGATTCCTTACTATTCTGGAGCGTTAAGGTGCTGAATTTCGCTATATCGAATCATTTCCTTCACGCTCACAATAAACTTACTGTCAACGGCAATTTCAATTCAAATCTGTAAAATGTCATCCAAAGGCTATCTTGATCTACTTTCAAAGAGAGAACAAATTTTCAAATAAGTGGTTGAGGTTCAATCTGGTGTGAAATTTTCTTACCGAATACCACACGTGCTTGAATTATTCTACCAATTTGTTCTTGCTCACGAATATTTTTACGAAATATTCGTGAGCTCGAACAAATTTCCGGAAATAATTCAAGCACTAGTGGTATTACATGTGAAAATTAAAAACAATAATGATACATACATTTCAAAACTCATAAGCTTGCATAACTATAATATTAAATTGTTCCGTGATAATTACAGTCAATGCCCAACGCATGCGTGAAATACATCTGTCTTGTTTTTTTTGTTTGTGCCCTGTTATATCGTTGTACTCTTAATAAAAAATGCTTCTCAATACAGTATGTACTTTGTCTACTGGTCATATGAAGAAATAAAGTTAATGATGATTTCTCCGAAACGAAACGTTGTATTAAAAATACCTTAACGCTGTCTTGTAGAGCTCAAAGTGGTAATGAGGAAGTGTTTTTTTTTATATTTTTGTATCTTTAACTGTTCAAATAACACCAGAAAAATATAAAAACGAAATCGGCAAATTTCTGTCTTTCCAGCATATCGTCGGAAGTAATCGGAATTTTCTGGTTTTCTTTAAAGCACAATAATAACTGACTGAATTTGACCATCATCGTATCTTCTACTGTTTCCGAGATCGCCATGATAGACGTTCTTATGTTAGACACAATGTATATTGATTAAATTTATTTGATACTACGTAGTTTTGGCAATTAATCAACAATATTTATCAATTACAATAATTATAAAATAATCAAACAAAAAGTAAAGTATATTTCATCTTTGTTTTGGTCCAATCATATGCGCCTGGGCTCGGGTTGACGATTTTAGTGTAGTAGGCTTTAACACATAAACGAAAAGGTTTTGGTGACTGGGGACGTTCCAACTTATAACACTTCAATTAATACCTAAAAGCATACATATAACGACAATTAATCCCTACCCTTGCGTTTTTCAATGTAACTAATAAATCCCGTGAGTTCTGCTTTCTGATTGAAAATTTTTTCTGTATTTAGCCAAGTGTAGAGGAAGGAATAACCGAACCGCTGAATTTTGTTTACTTACTGTGCTTATAAATCAAACCACGTACGCAAATAACACATTATACACACGCACATTTCATCAAATTACATTACAATTCCGTAACCCAAGTATTTTTTTCTCCCAGAGACTTGGCCCTTGGCGTACTACACTTACCAATCGTGTAAGTAGGTACCTACTGTTAGAAAATTTGGAAGAAAACACAACCCATGGTTTAGGTGTAAGCATGAAGGCATGTGCACGGTAGTTGTGAATGTTCACGTTGGTAATCAGTGTTTTAGTAGATCACAACCTTTGATAATACACCAAGAGGTAACGACAGATTTTGTACGATAATTAGTAAACGTTTGTCACCGCAATTTTCTTTTTACATAGGTTAGAACCAGCCCCCGGCTTATAAATGGGCTAAATGGGCTGTAGCCCCAGGTGCCACTTTCGGAGCGGCGGCAAGATTTGATAAATTACATTTTTCCATTATTTGCAATTTAGATCTGAGCTTGTGGATCATTTTTGCCAATATATAGCCCAGGGCGCTAAAAACATAGCCCGGGCCCTGGTTGGAACTAGCGTATAAACGTATATCATATCTCAGTTCTATTCTTAAGTAATTTTTCGACAACACAACAAAAAAAGTTTATTAATAATCGAATGCCATTAATACATTTAATGAATCCATTTGATATTTCATTTTGGGTACCTTTGGCAATCAAAACTTTTTAGCAAGTACATAATATTTATATGTGACCAAGAGAATAGTCAACGAAAAACGTCTGTCAATGTGCTAGCGCCCTATTATTTTTTCTCTCCAATAATATTTTAAAAGTAATAGCAGATGATTAATGAACTTTTGCTTGTTGTGCTATCAAAATTAAAAAAATTACATAAAAAGGGAACTGACCGCTCAACAGACGTATGATATACGTTTGTTTATACGCTAGTTCTAACCTATGTAAAGAGAAAATTGCTGTGACAGACGTTGTCGATATCTCTCGGTCTATAAGCAGCACACGTCCAACGAATGCTCGACTACGCGATATGTTTTTAACTAAAAAATAATTTTTGATGAGCTATATGCGGCATAGTGTCACAAAGTATGCAGAGGGATTTCCTCTTACTCCTCGGGCCCATTACACATGCGAACCATTTCGTGATCGACTATATGGGGTTGTTATTTTCACGTGGTAGTGACCTAACCGCAGACCTGTGAAGTCCCCATCCCTTTCCCCTTTCAACTTCGGTAGAAACTAATTTTTTTCTGACCATAGATATTGTTTCGGTATTCTTCTACATATTCTTGTAGAAAGGTCACCTTTGCCATTGTGTAAGTATTTAAACAATGCCTTTGCCAATGTGATTACGAGTACCAGTGAAGTTCTCACACTAGCTCTAGTTTTCTTGGGGCCAAACTGTTGTCATTTTCCGTCCCGTGTTTTGGGCTGTGCATACGCAACCGATCTTAGAGATCTGGGGTGAGCCAGTTTTCTAATTGAGGTGAGAGTGATATTACACGGAGGAGAGTTTCCTTGTGAGCGATTTCAAAGATGAATTGTCAGAGACGTTATTTTAAGAACGAGTTTTCTTCAGAGCGATCTTCTGAGATAGAGACTTTCTGAACGAGAATGTTCATTGGAGAGCTCCAGTATTTCATGTGAATTCTCTACAAAATGATTTTTCTAAGAGTAACTCACCGAGCCGAATTTTATCAGAATAAGGGAAGGTTCCTGAAGAATAAGAGGAAGGCAAATTGTCTTGGAGGACCAAAATTCCCGAAAAGAAATTTTCGATGGCACCTTTGCAGACGCTAAACTGGAGTAAATTTTCTAGAGTCTAGGGTCTCGGTCATTATACATCCCCGCTCTTTTAATTTTGGAAAGGTAGCTGAAGGTTCGCCTCTTCCAAGTTAGGTACTTCCTAAAGCAATCATCCGCCCCCCATCCACTTATAACTGGGACGGAGCAAACGATGGATCTTTTATGTTCTAATACTTATAAAAGCGGAATACAACCATCCCTTCCTTGAGTTCATCGAGTAATGCAACTTTTCTCTTATTCTGAAACATAAAGCTCCGGGTTCTGACGGAAGATCGCCATCTGAGGGTTTGAGACTACGCAACTTTGATCTGTTAAGTCTTTATTAAAGGGAATTTTGGTAAACCCTTTAATTTTCACTATTCTCTCCAGGTATTAGCTCCAAAACGAATTCACGTTCTGGAAAGCTACCCTCCAAAGGATTTATCTTAAGGAAGACTAAGATTTCCTTCTATGTCTGTGACCAATTTCGCTCAGGTAAGTGCCTCTCCAAAAATTCACCTTTAAGAGAGCTTGCGTTCAGGTGGATTCGCCCCTGGAATAATAGTTCCCAGAAAATTCACTCTTAAAAGAATAACAGGATACACCAATACCAATGTCATTGGTTTCTTACAAATTTCCATTTACGTTATCTTTGCTTTAAAATCCACCTTCAACCTGCTTGTTTTTTCGGGCTCTGACGTGTTACCCGATTCTCGGAAAGCATAGTCGATACCTATCAATTTTATGAGATCGTCATGCCGGGATATGGCATCTGTTTTTTTGTCACTCTTTCTTTTGGGCTGTGTGTATATAGAGTGGTTCAAATTCGTGACTCACCATTTGGATTTCCGCGGTTTTGAAATTTTTGATTTTTTTCAGAGTATATCAATGTGTTATTGCAATTTTCATAACACGCTTGATGTAGAAGTTACAGACTTCTACTTTCTTACGGCCAATTCATACTATAGCTCAGGTGACCCTCTGCTCACGCTCCGCTCAAAATATTGTAACATGCTATTTCAATAGGAATATTCACATTCGACGGTCTGGTCACGGTCAGAACATGTTCATAGAAATACACGCTACAATAATTGACCGGACCGTTAGCGGACCGTGATCGGACCGATAATGTGAATTGGCCTTTATTTCTTGTGGACGTCGTATTGAATTTTTACGGAATAAGACAAAAAATTCATTTTAATCCATCGCCATCATAGCCATCTTGAGTCAGCAAGATCTAGTTACCCGTGGATATTTTGTTGAGAAATAAATGTAAAGCATTTGATTTTGAAATGTTTCTTGTAAATGTATGTAAAAAAAGTATAGAGTGGGACAATTTTTCTTTCTCATCCTCTATCTCAATCCATAAAAATCCAACATGGCGTCCATATGAAATAGGAAAGTGTCCTATAGCTTGACAGATTCTCCGAAAAAAAGTGCCCATGGCTTCCGGTCGTTTAAGCTAGAGAAAATGGAAACGAAATTTGACATTTTCAGTTTTTCGGTGATAAGTCACTTATTTTCAAAAAATTTAAAGGCGGTTTTTAGTCGTAAGAAGGGGCAAATTTGTCCCCATTTGCCCTAGATTATATCTGCCCCCGTTGCGGAAAAGCCAAAGGTGAGCCACACATTTGAACCATCGTGTATAACCGACTTTAGAGATGCGTGGCAAAAAAGGAGCGAATTGCGTAGGTTGAATGTTTCGGGGGAGGGCGAAATTTGTCACAGAAATAGAAGAGGAAGCTCTAGAATTGCGTAATTGCGTTTTCTTTGGGGAAATTCTTCTGAAGTCGATGATGAATCTTCTACAAGCCAATCTTGCTAGAGTGTGTTTACCTCGTGGTGGGGGCGTCTATTCATAGTAAAAAATAATAATAAAACAAGTCCTTCCCTTTGGAGAAGAGTTTCCCTAAGCCTTAACTTTCACTAGAGCGAGTTCCTGGAGAGAGAGTATTTGGGTGGACTACGAAAATTCTGTGTGCAAAATCATCGAGGGCAAATATCCATGAGTAAATTTAGTGTAGCACATCTTGAATTGTGTTACGATCGAAGTTTTATTTTTGCCCTATTTTGGTGTGAAGAAGAGCACCTCGTACTGGCCCTCTTCCTCATAATCGAGGCCAATTGGTCATGTATTGCCCCTTACTGCTGGGAAACGTAATCAGTTTTGCTACCCCTGATACCCGCATCAAAAATAATGCTGTATAGATTTTGATATACGAACCTAGCCGAACATTTTTGGGATTAGCTGTTCGAAGGACCCTTACCTTTTCCAAGCATTACTGCTTCTACATTATTTAGGTAGAATTGCTAGTGGCTTTTCATTTTGAAAAATGAAGGATGTGCTATTCGATTTCTTAGACAAGTCGCTCTGAAAATGAATTAACAGCTCATGAGCTTTCACTAAAGATCTGAATAAGTTGTATTACTAATATTTTTGCCAGCATATAATTAAGTTTCCGCTTAAAATTAGTAGACCACTGATTATATTATAGGTTTCCACAAGACTTCTGGCATTATGACTAAAACTTTTAATCCACTTGTACAGGTGTTAATAAATAACCCAATTACACAAGTTGCTGTCGTGTACTTGTAGGAGGAAGAACTGCGCAGTACTTTGTTGGTAACAATTTAACCCGAAAGGGAGCCGTGCTCATTTTAAATTGAATTTAACTTTCCCTGGCAATATTTTTGTTAATTGCAAAGAACCGCAAAACTCCTACCGTTACTTTTGTTTTCCAGCTAAATCTTATAACATTTCACATATTTCACCATTTCCCCCTGTTCGGTAGAGCCACGTTTGCATGAATAGATATTTGTTTTCTGTCACAAAACCACACACAAATGTTCTTATCACACTATGACATAGAAATATGTCTGCTTCGAATAGAACTAATTGTAAACCGCTATCTTTTAGGACTGTATCGGCGACGGTCAATTCAGAGATCGAGCAAGAAAGGTCTTCCGGTTCGAAAAAGGAAAGAAAAGCTTCGGCGGCGGCAAGATTTACAATATATAAAGTTAATAAAGCAAGTCGTAAAAAAAGAGAAAAGTCGACGGCGAAAAAGGAGAGAAAAGCAACTAAAACACTGGCGATAGTTCTAGGTAAGTTGCAACACTTCAGTTACACTAAATGTTACTAAAGCAATTTTAAGTCGGTTTCTAGTCTTATTCGTGTTAGGGCTCCGTAAAATACTATCGACGTTTTTCCCTTACAACTTTAATTACGGCGGAAATTACTTTCGCAATAGAGGTAACGATGCTTTTTTTTTAAATTTCTCCCGCGAGCGAGATTTTAGTCGCCCCGAATCCTGCAGCGAGCTTTCATTAAATTTTATTGTCGCACAAATCCACGATCATTTTCTAATTCTAATCCAAATCTGCTTAATGCTTTCCAATAAATATTAAAGAATTGAACCTCTCACGACGTATGTAAGCTGAATAATTCATAGCGAAACTTTCGCTGCTAAATTTATTATCATCCTTTGTGTCATCGTATATTAGAAATTATCCTTAATTATGGGTATTCTATTCTTTCAATTTGATACCTGGCGTGTTTTGAATTATAACATCCTATATAGGGACCTAAACGTTCACCGCAAAAGTTGAAAATTGCAATAAAAGCATTAGGTAACTTAATTCTGACGGTCAGTAGAAGGATAAAGTACAGACTCCTTATTCAATCGTAGAATGGTGGTCGACATGACAAAGTGATAATTTTTCCAGGCAGAAATTATACTGAAACTGATTCTATTCAAATTAGTAACTACTGCGCGTCCTCATGGTATATTGAAAAAATCAAACCGAAGGGCACTCTCCGTGAAAAAGTGAATTAATTTCCACTGTCGCTAGTGTGTTATAATTTTCAAGAGAATTTAATATGCTCTATTGTCGTATTTAAATATAGAGAGTATTCCATTACAAAAATGGAGGTTAGGTCCGATAACTTTTTTACCCAACCCCGTATACCTATTTTCAAAGCGGCAGATTATTTCATCATTATAAACAAACTTTTGTACAAAACATTTTTCTGTTTCCTTTTTAACTAAGAAAATATTATAGGCTCATTCTGAAATTGAAATTTTTTTTAATTTTCCCCCTTATCTCTTGAGCAAGCAAATATCTAGCATACCGTGTGCTGTCAGGATGCGCGGTGTCTGTTGTGTTAAGGTAGCATCGCACAAAAGTAAATCCTCAACAAATAGAGAATGCGGTATATGACGGTTTCAATTTCTTGGACAAGTCACTCTGAAAATGACCTTTCAGTAATGATCTGAATAAGTCGATATTACTAACACATCAATTTTTGGCAGTTTATAGTTAAAATTAGTAGACCACTGATTATGTTATAGGTTTCCACAAGATTTCTGGCATTATAACTAAAACCTGTAATCCACTAACCTGTGACACAAGCTATCATACCGTGTGCTGTCAAGATGCGCGGTGTCTGTTGTGTCAAGATAGCAATATATTCAAACAAGTATTTATTAATAAAGGGCGTGTCAAAAAATTTGTGATAAAACTGACCTCGCAATAGATTATTTTTCTTTTTCTTTAGAATTTTCACAAGGTGACCTAACCTTGCATCTGTAAACAAATTCGACTCAGTACATTTGCGGATGTGCTTACGTTCACAGCGTGCATCTGCTTTATTGTTAAGTTGAGTGACGAGTTACAAGTAGATCTACTTACCTGAAAAACGTTTTCAATTTGTATGCAAAAATAGAGTTAACGCCGACAATCGAGTGGAAATTACTTATTAAATATGAAAGCTGCAGGAAGGGGCACTTGAACGTAAAATACATATTTGCATAGGAAAAGTTTAGTGAAAACATAATTGAATTGCTCTTGTATAGCACCGGTTCGCGAGAAAGTTAAGGGCCTGGGACGTAATTCTCCTTTCTTAAAACGAAACATAATTTTTATATGGTGCACCTCGGTAGTCTGTGTATTGTTTTCTGTTACTTCGCTATTTCATTATAGTTATTTGTTTGCTATTTCACTTTAGTAGCTATAGGCCGCATTCGAGAGAATTAAATTTTATTTTCAACCTTATACGAATCTAATGTTGGCAGTACAAAATGGTAAAAGTTTAATATTGCTGTACTTCTACATCATATTATTCTCACTTCCCTATCTAACCACAGCAAATTATGCAGGGTCACCCTGTCAGGGTGTCTTAAATTGAGTAGGATAACATGGCGATCTTTGTTATTATTATATTTACAGATACAGTTAAATTGGCAAAGTTGTGTAGTTTTTGATGCTAATGGATATTCCGATGCGATATTTTGAAAAAATAATTCGTTTCGTAGATAATTGGAAACAAGTATAAATTGTGCACAACTCTTGTGCAGATAAAGCGCCTTTTTTAAACCGAAATAGCTTTTGTTTTGACATCACCAATGGATATATTTCTTGCAGAGGTCTCAATCGCCCTTTATGAGTATACTCTTCCGACAATCCGTTCTTGAGGTATAAGGAAATATACCCGATCATGATAAGAGGTCGAAGAGGAGGGCTATCGTTAGTAGAAATTAATTGCTTTCGTTGAGACCTTTCAGTAGAGTACCATGAACGATAAATTAGCTCCACTCCCCCCTCTTTCGGTTCCTTTCGTTGAGACCTTTAATTAGAATACAATGAGAGATAAAATTAATTTTTAACCCACTCCTCCCTCAGGCCCCGTCGCTCTGATCTCGAAAAAGAGTCGCACGGGAAAGTTATAGTTTGTACAAACCAATTTATTTCGATGAGACCTTTCATTAGAATACATGAAGAGTAGAACATGTTTCCCCCCCCCCCCATTTTCTTCATTTTAACTTGGCACCACTAAAGGCATGCGTATGCAAAATCTGAGACCATTGGTTGTCGTATATAAAAGTTGTCCACGTTTTCTTTCAAAAACAGCATCTCAGGAAATAATTCGTGAGGGGGCCCCCTTTTAGACAGCGAAATTTGATGGCCATCTGGCACACCTTCAAGGTATAGGCTATCTACTGCAAAAAATTCCAGGACTCTAAGACCATTCCCGTAAAAGTAGTTCAAAACGGTAGAAGTGGGTCCGGACGGACGGACGGACAAAACGCAAACAATACCACATTTTTCTTAATTCTTAAAAAATGCGCTAAAAAATTAAAATCGCCATTTTTAAAAAGTTCAAATATTTTAGTAACACAGCTATCGAAAACCTACGTCCACCTTGGTGTGTTCCATGCTATTCGGCTACATCATTGGCCATATCAATTTTAGTGAGACTCTGCAGGGTGGTGTTTTTTCAGGGATAATGTTCCATTTTCTACTCTTAAACTGTTATATCGGCGCGCCGTTGGTAAATGGTAAAATACGAAATTAATTCTCGTCGCTATCTGAGACCATTATCGAGAAAGAAAATAAAATAAATTATTTGAAAACGCATTTTAATCAACATATACTCAACAAATAATTAAAGCAATACATCAATAAAATAAAAATCAACTTTAGCAAACCCGAAGAATTAGCCGCTTCATATTTAGGAACGCCCTGTATACAGGTCGATATTATGAAAGGGACGATTTTGTAAAGGTTTTTTTACAAAATTTAGTTTTTTAAACACCCTCGAAGTACAACGGTACTCACTTGAATGCAAAATACAAAGATGTGATTAATGTATTTACAGTAATTAAGGGTAACGAAACCCGTGGATCGTGAAGTACAGACTGGTCTTGTTCCATGTTCCAAAGGATTGACAAGAAAACTCGATAAAAAATCCTAGACCCACGCGATTACACAAAATTACATAATCCCTCGGGAAATAAAATTTTAAAAATGATATCCACCCACAAATTGTAGAGCCGGGCGACTGAATTACTTTATTCAGTGCATTTTTAGCCGACATCCTAGTTTACAAGGTCAAAGAATTCAACCTCCGCTGTCCGTATTTCAACTAATTTCCCCTTTCGCAGTTCAATTTCAATTTTAGTCACAAACGCTTTTGATTTGTTTGTTTAAAATAATAATCATACAGCTCGGAATTATCGTGACTACACCATTTTTTCTTGTATCAAAGAGTAATTCTTGGCTTGTATGGAAACCACCACAAAAAAGCAAACTTAGATTTCGTGCGCCTTTCTAACCAAAAAATCTTTGGTTGTAATATTCACGAATGGCAACGCGAATTTTGGCACAAAATAAAATCCATCCTTTGAGAGTGTTCAGGGGATTAACTTAACTCTAATCTGGTATCAACCCTAATTCATACTGAAAATATAACACCACCCTGCGGTAATTTACAGAACTTAACTTCACTCACAGTTCAACGCGCATTCCTTTTCACAAAATAAAACACCCTGCGCCAATTCACGGATGGTTGACCCAACTTTACTCGCGGTTAACGCGCCTCGCCTGACAGTTCAGATTAACCACCCTCCTACTGCTTTAATTTTTTTATTGCCACCCTCGCCCATCCGATGACGCAAACCTTTTCTACTAATTTTACACAACTAATTAGGTTTCTTGATCGTCACAAATCAACTTAACGATGGAGTCAAAAATCTTGTCATTCCAGAAACACCCTTGGCCCTTGGCGATAGAGAGCCAAACTTGATAATTTCAAATGGAAACCCAATTTTCGAAACATGATGAAATTAAATGCCTCTTTGAAATCAATGGAGAGTAAAATATTTGCTTTTTAAAACGAATTTTATTAGTGATTGTACGTAGTCCACGTATATTATATTGGCAGTCTTTTCAGTTTTGAAGACGCATTGACTTTCTGGGAAGATTGCATCTTTCTGTGATATACGATATAGTTAAAACATTTTTGAGATGTGAATCATCAATTCCTCTATAGTTTTCAATAACATACCCCACTGGTATAATAAAGTTGACTAATAGAACGTGACGTTTTCATGTTTTACGATATTCAACTAGTCATCCTGTCATCGGTGCGTTCTCGGGCCAATTTCTCAGGTTAATTTGAAAACGAAAAACAAAGAGATTTTTTAAAATTCTAATATTAATGTTTTTGTAATTTATTTTTTTTAATGGGACCATCATCCCCTCCTGTTTTGTGTTTTTTAAATGGGGTCATTGTCCTCTGCTCTTTTGATTTTTGTGTGCTTTTGTTTAATGTCACTAATTGGTATGTGTAGGACCTTTGTCCTTGTTCTTTGGTTTTTTTAAAGGGATCATTGTCCACTGCTCTTTTGGTTTGTTTAAATGTAATTATTTCGGTAGCTACGAATCAATTTTTTGGGTACATCCCATGAATAGGTGGTAGTGTACACCCTTAAAACACTATACAATTTAAAATGGGCACAGTAACAATAAATCTATAGACTGCTCTAATTCTCGACCATCTTTCTTAAAAGTCGCATACGAAGTCCCCCCCTGTGTGGACCGCGCGCCTTCGGCCATCTATGGTATAATAAAGCTGCCTTAGCGAGTCATAATAAAAGTGACGTTTTCATGTTTCCATTTACATGTATGCCATTCAAACCCACCGCCGCCGCTTTACTTACAGATGCATTCACTGAATTTTGCAGTATTCACAGCTGGCTTCGCACCTTCACGTTAGTTAACGATTGGTCTATTTAACGTAATTTATTAAAACATTGCAACGAAGTTTGCTCCATAATGTTCAATGCATCTTAAGTTATAACATTAATTGCATTAAAATAATACCAAACTCGTGTTCTCGCTACAACCTTACAGTACGGAAACTGAAAAAAAATTGCAAAACGTTGACACTTTTTTTTAAGTGTTCGCGATTCCCATATACAAACACTATATACTGTTTATGTCAGTGGTAACGCATTAGTAAGTTAAAGTGCCCAAAAATTTGCCCCCTTAAGTTTAGTAAACGCAGTAAAGGGGTTTTCGGTGAAAAGGATTTGAGAGACATACAGTAGAATGATTTTCTCGAGTGCATTGTCTTCAATTGTAGCTGATCTTAGAGAGGCGCGTATTGCTTGAAAAGTGTTCATAAAAATAGGCCTCATGATTGGAATGCATCTAGATTTCCACATTGATTTCCTTGAAAAATCGTGACTGGGAAACGTTATCATTGGCCTTCCGAAACATTTTACGTAATCCATTTTAAATATTAAAGGGAAAGGGGTCAAATGAAGCAATTCCTTCCGAATCCTGCGTTGTATCTTTCTATTAATTAATCGCGCAGCGAAACCTGTATTTGACATTTCGAGAAAAATTAGATCCGATCGAGCTATCGGAACAAATCTAATTATCTACAAGTGGCGACTTAACAGACATGACATCGTTCGCTTAATTATAGCTATCGATACCTTGGACGCTTCTCATAACGATTAAGTGCCAACGGTTTTCATCTTGATATTATTCGGCACACCCCCATTTATTTCTGAGCTCAATTATTTTGAACCGAGGTGATTTGTGACGGTCTTGCGTGCCGTAACTTCATATTTCATTGACAATATACTTTATGCCTTTTGTCGGTACCGAAGTTATTTATAGTATAATTACGGATACATAGCAATTATCCCATCAACAAATGATCGCTTTTAGCACGAATTAATTCGGTATACAAGTTTAATCACGAGCATGACCTATTTCGGTCCACTTTCCTATTCAACTTTTCGCACGACAAAGAAATAGTCACTCTCGATAAAGTGTAAAGTTTTGGGGTAAAGTTTCTGGCGTGAGTGAAACTAGAATAGGCGGACCTAAACAAACAACCACTATCAATCTTGACAAATAGTCGCGAACGTTTCAATTTCTCATGTGTTAGTAATATAATAGTAATTGTTACGATTTACTTTCAGGAGTTTTTCTCTTCTGTTGGGTGCCCTTCTTCACGTGTAACATAATGGACGCCATGTGCAGTAAACTTGGATTATCCTGTCAGCCGGGAGTTGCAGCATTCTTACTAACGACGTGGTTGGGATACATCAATAGTTTTGTTAATCCTGTCATTTATACAATTTTCAATCCTGAATTTAGAAAAGCCTTTAAAAAATTAATGTTCCTTGGACCTTAAAGCTTCAATCGTTAATTTGGTTTGTTGTTGTTGCGTAGTATAATTGCTCAAATGACACCTTTCGAAGTTCTTCCGTTTATATTTCTCTGTAGGTTTAATTGCTCAATTTGTTTTCAAGCCAAGGAAACACACATATACCGAATTTATTGTTAACATATCATTAAGACGTACATTTCTTAGAGTGTATATAACTTTAATGGACACCACTACCTACCTATAGAACATTTCCGTTGTGCTTTTTTGCCGTGTTCGTCTGATACGGATTAATTTCCAAATCGCCCCTTTGTTGGTTAGATGTGGTACAAATTTTTGCATCTTGTCATAGAACTGTGATTTAATATATACGTATTGGACGAGTACCTGTAAGACTTTTCTGTTGTACGCAAGTTTACTTGTTATCAACTAAAGATAATAATACTAACATGTAATGGAATAATAATATAGCTCTAATGTAAATATAATGTAATAATTGCTATTGTGATCTAACGTTAAGGATAAGTTAAGTTAGTATAATGTTTTGTTTATTTTAAGACACGGTTAATAATAATAGCGTAAGGTCGATATCAATAAAGTGTACAGTTTGTACATAAAAGTAGGTACGTTAAAAAATTGTACATAGGCATTCCCCAAAGCAAAATTCGTAAAACAAGTTATACAGTTGTGATTCTATAATCACTATTGTATACGTGAGCCCAATTCTACGACTGTTTGCTTTGAAAAAACTATCCCACTGTGAAAAATCAAAGTTTACGCTTATCATAAAGATAATGTACGTAGGTATATACTTATTCGCTACAGATGCGCTGAACAAAAAATTTCTGTCAAATGTAATAAAGCTATTTCTTATAGAGACTATACCCTTACTTACTGAAAAAATGTTTCCTCTCCCACTCCTAAGAAACGTGTACTGTTCCTGGTTCGACCCACAAGACACCTTCTATCTACGCCATTTAGCATTTATTCGTAGTAAATTGGATACTCAGTAAGTGTGTGGGAGAATTAATACTGTTGATAATGTGTTTTTTGACTGGACGCTGTTCCTCTATCAAATCGTCCACAACTAGTACAAGCGCTCAGTTAGTAACCAGATGGGTCATTCGTTACAGGTTGTCTTACCAAACCAGAAGCAAAAAAAAAAGATTTTTTCGTTTATAACTCACAACTACCCAGGTTTTTTTTTTGTACAAATCGGGTCACTAATTTTGGCTCCAAACGATCTGAATGACCTATAGGGGGTGTTCAGTTAGGACGGGTAGATAACTACTTTGACTTTATAATTTCTAAATTAGATCATCACTACAATCCATACACAATTATTATTGCAGTTGCAGAATTGTGCAACATTTTGGAACTCAAACGCGAAACATTGCGGACCGTTAGCTTGCTGTAACAGATTCTTTCTGTTGATCTCCTCTTCCTCGCTCTTTTTTTGCTTACCTATTACATCCTGAGTATTTTTTTTTTGAATTTTTGTTTGCACTTAGTTTCTCCCTTAATGGCCACAGTCAATCTACTACTTACCAATAACGCGCAAGCTTAGAATGCAGGGCACTATAAAATACCATGTGCACTTTGAAATCAACACACGCCGCTGATCGGCCAGCTAGCTCCGTTAGCCAAATAGTTAACAGCGTAGAGAGAGATATGCTCTTACTCAGGGTAGTAGGTAAGTGAATTAAAAACTTTGACCACAAATTATTATAAAAGGTTCCAAGTAAATCCCAGGCACTAATACTTACTGGTGCTTCAATTCAAGTCTTTCGGGCGCCACCTAATTCCAAAACAATTTTATCTGCAGCCACCGGAATTAGGAAAGGTAGCTTCAGTATAAAAAGAGTCAACAATTTACCCACAAGAAAAATTATCGTTTATTAATCAAAGAGTATGCAAAATTTAAAAAAATGAAATCTTCCCATGAACTATTACCACCCTTAAGATTTTAATGATTCTACGGGATGTTTTACAGTACACTCATCTGCAGTAGGCCGATTATTTCCCCGGATTCAGCTGATAATTAACCAGCTTGCAAAGACTCTAAAATGTAACCTAATTACGACTACGTTATAACCCACAACAATGCTAACCTCTTATTCAGAGAGTACACAAAAGAAAAGAACTGGAATAGTCCCAAAATGACTCCAAAATTTACTATATGGTTGGTATTTGTTCCCCTACAATAGAAAAAAGAACATCAGTAAGCTCAATTCGTACACAAGAAAACACTTACGATTTGGTATGTTCGAGTTTTCCGTATTAAAAGTCCATTTCGAAAAAAAATGTAACCGAACATTTAAAAACAAATTGTCGGCACAACGGGTAATCGATTGATTAAAGATGCTTCTGCTAAATATTAAATCAAGTCGACCATTGGAAAAAAATATATCAAACACCCAAATTCGGGAATCTAATACGACCGATTCTATTGCATGTTGCTGGAAGCTGTTTCTGATAATCAGACCTGTGTCCGTCAACAAACAGTACTAAATTGCACGAAAATATCAGTATTCCTCTCCGGAAGGGAGAGTCTACAAGGCTGTTAAATGATTCATCTATAGGTCTCTTAACTTCTTCGTTAAACGTGAAGCAGTTTCCAAAAACAAATTTCTTCAGCTGTGGGAAAAGATAGAAGTCTGAGGGTGCCAAATGGGGTGACTAAGGGGTATGGCCGAGCAAGCCTACCTCAAATCCTGCAGTTTTCCCATTGCCAACACACTTTTGTAAGCAGATAAGGGGCTCCTCTCACGAATTTTGACTTGCAGCTGGTCAAAAAGGTCAAAGTAACCTTCGGCGGTAATTGTTTTGCCTTTTATGAAGGTAATCAATGATTACCAAGATACCTTTGGCATCTCAAAACACACTGCTCCTATGTCTCGTCTATAGTGACAAATCGCCGCACAAAATCTGTCCGATCTCTCTAGAATCTGTCCAAACATTGCTGCGAATGTCAGGTGCGCACTTGGTTTTGATCCGCATTCAGCAAATGCGGCGCCCACCTTGCGGAGAGCATTCGCACCTCTAATTCTTTTTGCTAGATGTTTCGCTCCCTTTCTTTCGATATGCCCAGAGCCTCTGCTATCTCACACACTTTTACTTGCCTATCGCCCAACACAATAATGAGCACTTTTTCGACAGTTTCCGGTATACTCGCAGTTTTTAGCCATCTTTCACGTCGGTCATATTCGAGCGACGTGAGACCACGTTTAATTTCAGCTACCCCATTTTTAACGTTAGAATTGAAGGAGCAGAGTTGTAAACTTTTCTCATTTCGGATGAATTTACTTAGGTGTTAATGCATGTACTATAAAGACTCGTCAGCACAATTCACTTGAGCGAACAATTTGAAACGTGTCATCGCGCAGACAGGAAACTGGTACTTTCGCCTTTTGGATCTCTTGTTCAGGCTGAAAATTTGTCACCTTATCCTCGTACAACGTTCTTGAATTACATAAAAGGCAAATAAAAGAAAAACTTACTATTTTTTGATTTTTGATTTGAGCCTTTTTTTTGCCAATTTAAAGACATCATGTTGAGTAATGTAATAACAAATAACATTCGTTATCAATTGGGTTTCTGGTTAGTGGAGTCGTGTCACCCGAATATAGACAATCATGCATGATGAGTAGTCCACTTAAAGAAACCTCAAATGCTGTTGAAGGGAAAAGCGATTTTCCAACAAAAACTTAAACCAAGTGGTCTTGAAATGCAACTCGGTATATTCCCCTTTGTAACGGTAGGTAACTACAATTGTTGAAAAGAACTCGTGATCATATTTCTGGAAAACTTTAGTATGCTCGGACCTACTTTCCGTACTTTTAAAATGCACGTATTTTGACAGAATGTAGGATTCTGAATATTCCACCAAACGTCCAGATTTTCATCAAAATATTCCAAGGGATTCTTCATAAATAAACATAAGCATTGGAAACAAACCGTAAACATAATGGAACAATACGCTTCAATTTTGGGCGACCATAAATGGAAATTTTCCATTTTATGGTAAAATTCAGTTCTTAACATTAGTGCACTTAGTTTAGCACACCGATTTATCTATTATTATCTGCAATGCGCAACTTTGTTTTACTCTGTCGCGCTCCATCACAATTTCACCACATCGATATTTTTAGAACACGCCGGTTAAAATAATTCAATTGATATCGATATTGGAGTAACGATATAAAACTGTTAAAATCTTACTTCAAAGTCCTCTGCGTAGGGAAAGCAGTGTACTTACCCATAAGAAGAACGTATTCGAAATCTATAATGTATCGCCAGAGGATACAGTGAATTACGGACTAAATATTAAGTTTAGAATATCTACATCCTTGAAGAGGTGACCAAATTATGAATTACAAATAAAACAGTGCAGTGACCTAAATTTCTACAATCACTAGCATGTTCCTTGAAGAGGAAATATTTCATGAATTACTACTTATTTTAATTCCAGTAGGTGTTTCCAAGAGTCGCCAACTTTTTTACCATCTACGGCCACGCGTTGAGATTATATAAGTTGATGACCATTAGGTAGACAGATACCATGATTAGATACTACGGTATATCGAAATTAACCTGTGAATGAGTGTAAATGAAGGATTCCCACAATCTTATTCTGGCGCTGAAGTCCTAAAAATTACCCAAATGCACCAATCCCTTTTATGTGCAGTCTAAACCTACCACTTAAAATAAAAGGGTTACTCATAAACAATGAGATTACATCAACGAAGGGTAATCTGTTCAACTTCCACAGCAAAACCTAAAATAATGCATAACTTAACCAGGTCGATTAAACAAAATGTCTGTACTCACGATATCAGTGAAAACCAAAACATATCCTCCAAGAAACTCGGAGAAAGCTGTAGGGAACCCATCCAACTAAATCAGGAACCACAAAAATCCACCAGAAATAATTATACTTGGAAATTGCAATTAGAACCACATGGTTTTCACCCTGCCTGTTCATCGTGTCGAACTAAGGCGTGTTGGCCGTAGAATGATTTCTGGAAAATGGAAATTGGGAGAGCAAAAAGAATGTGGGTTTCGGCTTGCGCGGGAAATCCCATCGACAGGTGGTGCTATCAAGCGCAATAACGCAGTGGCCGTAAACCAAAAAAAATAACCAATACGTACTTACGGAAATAAACTGTCAAAGAAGATTAAGTGGGAGAACAATTGGGGCAAAAAGCTTGTTGTTTATTTAGTTAATTTATTAAATAAGGTTAGGTATTGTGTTTAATTAAAAGAGAAATTGTTAGCTTAGTGGACTTTGAAATTTGTAACATCGTATAAAGAACTACTAATTTTTATTAAATCTCTCCGGTATAAAATTTGCTCTATATGTCATACAACGTTTGTTCGGTAAGTTGTCAATATCCAGAAGCTATTCAATGAAAAACGTCAGAATATTAGAGCCAAATTGGTAGGTTCAAATGGAATTGCAAAAGTAACACACATTTTTCAGAGGCTGCGCGAGACCTATTCTGGAAATAATCTAAGATCTAAATGGTCTAATGGTTATGACACTGAGAAGGTACAGGTTCGATTCCCTGTCCATCCAAGCCACCTTTGGCATTCCACGCTCCACATACGGCCAGATCTAAAGTGCCTCTCGCACAGTTAGGCACGCATAGTATCACACATCTTCAAAAAAACGGGACTACGTTGATTTATTTCGAAAACGAGACTTCGAACATTGCACGGTTATAAAGTCCCTCATTAAAAAGGAAAATGGTGTGAAAGTTATCCATGACCCAGAGATACGGTACTAACGGCCCATCTTATTTCCAAGTAAAATATTGGTCGAAACAACTCGGGTGGGGTTGCGACACGATTCAGAACGACCCAATCAGAAGCATTTGAGCGCATACGATGATAGTTATTTTTCAGGGATCCACGAAATGTGGTTGTTTCACTGGGACATTCCTGCAAAACAGGAATCAAGGAAGTAATAGCATAAGAGCTTTCCATCGGCAAAACCAGAGTTTTTATGAAAAATTGATGGCGATCATTTTTTGAGATTGTGTAGCCGTTTTGCTTATCAAATAAATGGGACCATTGTTAATGGGGAGGTTACTGGAAGCTAGATTGAAAAGGGTACGTAAAGTAAAACTGAGCTGTTACAAGGCTACCCTACCCATGTATCGAGCAAGTCATGTCATTTAAATATCTACGATACCTTATGAAAATGAGGAATGACGAAATTAGGAAAAGATGCGAAATATGAGACGTTGTATAATGAGGTCCATGAAAAGGGAAAAAATGAGTGACCATTATTACATAATAAGGGGTATAGATCGCAAAAGGGAGAATAATCGCTATCAGACTTCTCGGATGAGTATCTACTCAACAGAAGGAAACATGGCGATAGGTATTTGCGGCAAATACGACACTAAAAAGAAGAAATTTGTCAAGCATTCAACTGCACCTTATTCATCCCATGGCTTACAAGTTTAGCCCATTTTTGTAGAAAAGGTGATCTCTTCGTCTGTCAATGAGAAAAAGGGTGTGGTAGCCCCGACCGAGATACTGATGGTGAGTCAAATCTTCAAACGCGAATTGCGGGTGAACGTCGGAAGTAAATTCCCGAAAATTTCTTCGCGAGAATTTCCATAAAAACAAAGTAATGAAACAATTTTTAATTACGAAACAAAAAATAGAAAATAGGAAACATTATGTACAAAAGTCATTAGAGAAATTTCACCGACGCTTATTTTTGATAATTTTCACCTTGACCCTGATACTTGCCCTGCTGCTGGGTCACGTAGATCGGTTGAGCTGCTGACCGGCCACCTTGTGGAACTGCCAACACGTAAGCGAATTGCTGTAAGTCGGATGGTGAGTATGCGTGCGAAGGATATGCGGCTTGTTGGGGTGCGGCGATTGCGTAATATTGTTTAGGAGCGGCCGCATACGCTGCCTTTGCTTGGGGTTGCTGTGGCGCGTAGGCGACCCTTTGCGGTACGGTGACGTAGGCGATTTGTTGCTGCGGTAAGTTGGCGTAATTATATTCTTGAGATGCCGACTCCTGCGCATGTGCGAACTGAGGAGATTGCGCGTAGGCTACTGGTTGCGACGTTTTGGCGATCTTCTTTGGGGCGACCGTCTGAGATTCTTGGCCAACTGGGCTTGCATCTCCACCTGCCGCTAGTTTACCGGTCAACTGCTGCAAGACTCCTTGGTTGGAATATGTGACTAAGGGACTCGAAAACCGGAACGAAGATACTTCTGATGCTGGTGAGAAGTTTATTTGTGGCGCGGGCAGTTGCTAAAAACAAACATTTACTGGTTAGTTCGGTAAGGGGAGGGGGGGGGGGGGCAAGTCTACATTGTTACAAGTTGCAAAACAACCTTTCTACACTACTGCTAATAAAACCGACAGCGGTTAGGTATCGTTATTTACATGCCCAAAGTGCGCATACCCTACAGTAGTTAAATAGTCAGTTCTAGTTACGTTAGCAATTATTGTACTTATATTAGTTGTACCATGTCAAAATTGTAAAGTAACAGATCTTGTCTAGGGCCAACAGCATCAGGTGGAAAATGTCCATATCGTTGTGGAAAATACGTCATTTGCAACGGAAAACCTCCAAATCCGTTTGGATTCCTCCCCATCATAGTCATAGGTAACTGTCGTTCACGTCTTGTCTTACGAAAAGCGTCGTTTGAGAGAAAATTATAATCGAAATCTTGAAATCGACTTGCAAACGCATATGGGGCTGGTACTGGGGCCGTTCTTTTAAAAATTGCGTTGTCTTCTGCGACTACCCTAGATAGAATTTGTGACAACGTGTTCGGATTTAATACCGTTGAGAATGGACTTGCAGGGAAGCTGTCTTGTAGATGTCCACCGAATGATGAAATGTACTGAAGAATTGTGTTAATTAAGTTTGGAGCATTAATGCGGATCAGATTTGTAATTGTAAAAAAAATCTCGTTGTATTTTTCTTATTGCGAGAGAATATGCAATTAATCTTCACGGAATTTAATTTACCGAACTTCAATCGTGCTACTGCAGAATGCACTTTGAGGAAAGCAATTACATGGAGCTGAGCCAACTAAATTACAGACTAAATTATAAATTCTGTTCAAATAGTGAATGTTGAAAAATGATTTGGTTCTCAGGTATGAGCATAGGTATATTAAGTAAGGTCCTAACACAAATTGCTCCATTCAATAGTTTACGTACCTACAATAGTTATATATCGTGACGTACCCATTTACAACATCCAATTTGAATCGACATATTTTCCAATCTGCCCTGACAGGACAATACACATCGGAAATTACTCGATTCAATTTAATTTCCATAGACTAACCTACATAGGGTATACTGATTTAACTCAGGTCGACGCATTTTCTATTCAAATTTAATTTAAATTTACCTGTTCAGAACGTCTAGCGTTAATAAATCAATTGCGGCCACCACCGTTTCAAAAATTACAACTGAAAGTTTGCCGCTTTTAACACATTAATTCAATCCGAAAACAAAAGTTTGACTTGTTGTTTACGCGTTGCGACCGTTTTTCGGGATATACGATTTCAGTGCGAAGATATATCTTGTTACAACGCTACGAACGTTTCCATACACATGTACGTGATCTTTAGGAAAAAAATCTGATTGGATTGGATGGAAAATTGGATTAAAAGTGGAAACCGACGCGCAAACAAAAATAATATGATAAAAGATGCGAAGCTCGAAAGGAAATGTGATTTTAAATCAGTAGCTTATTAACATTACGAGTAGGTATACCTATAGTGACATTTATTATGAAGTAGACATATGGATTTACATGTATAGTTTTCCCTATGTAGCTTTTAAATGACAAAATCTATTCAGAAAGGCGCCTAATTTTATGCAGCCAAAAATAACGATCTGGCTGTCATTAATTAAGTTGAATATAACATACATCAGTTAGTTTGGTCACCCCCACTACAAACTGACCACATAATGACCCCAATTACAGAATTTAATTGAGGTACGTCAATCAACAGCAAGTGATTGCTTATGTTCCGTGTCACCATGATATACGTAAAGTATATCTGTGGTGTTCCAAAAAGTGGTAATTTTTGGTCTTTTCCTGTTAGTCAAACAGACAACAGTAGACACGGAATATTGCCGTACGAAAAGTTATTGCTGCACAAAATGATGGGAACTTTGAGGAAAAGTAAAAAAAAACTTTGAAGATAACTCGAAACCAATTTGGGTATCTTGAGAGCAGTATACGAGAATATTCAGAGAAGCTTGAGGAGAACATACAGGCAATTTGTGAAGGATTTGGCAAGAACTTGACAATTTGGGTAGAATTTAATGGACAATTAAAGGATATATGAACAACATAACTTGAACGTGAACTTAAGAGAAACATGGTGAGGCTGGGGGAAGCTTAAAAAGTCCTTGAGAGAAATCATCAAGAGAATTGGCGAATTGGAGAGGAACTTGAACAAAATAGGTACTTCATGAGCATTTGAGAGCAGAAACCTGGGAAAAACTTGAGAAATTATACGAAGTAAAGTGGAAAGAGTAGAAGAGCCAGAACCTTCGCAGATTTTAGAAAATACCGGCTTTGTAGCTCAGTGATAAAGCATTGGGCTATAGAACCGGAGGTCGGGCGTTCGAACCTGGTCTGAGATAGGAATTTATCATTTGTGGCAGAGATGGAAATTTGCTTAGATCAGTTTCGAGCATTCTGCCGGCTACTCCAAATTAGGTTTTCCTGCAGTGTTCCTAATTCGTAAGGTAAATATCGGAACAACGCCGGGGCACCTCTAAAAAGCATTATGCAGGTCACTCTGTAATTGGGCGTAAGCCTACTGAGGACCTAGAACAAATGGGACAATAAATAAATAAAATAGGTAGAATCCTATAAATCCTAAAACCTTAGGATCATCTAGGAATTTTTTTTAATGTTCTGCGAATTTTCTTAGAACCTTTTAAAGAATCTGTCCAAAGTATTTAGAACTACAACATCCAAATCTGCTTATACTCCTACTAGATTTTCTCCGGAAACTTCGTACGCTCGATATTGACGGATATATGATAACGGAAACCCAGCGTACAGAATGACAAGTGACTTGGCGCATGTATCGATTAGTACGTGAAATATCAGAGTGCGACATCAAGAGAAAAAGAGGCTTTTAAAAAATGTCATCAAAATCCGTCCAGAAACACGCGTACAGAAGAATTTTTCATATCACCTTAGCTTGAAATTATTTGTTCAAATTTACAAAAAACTAAGTGTGAATTAATTATTTCCAAATTATGTTAATTTTTAAGATCTATCTAAGAAAAGATATGACGCCTAAATGTGAACGTTTATTGAACTCCATGGTATTCTTTGCGAAACCAAGATAAAAAGCGGTAGAGAACCAAGATGGAACAAGTGACAGACAAATATCTGCCTAAGTTAATTCCTGATTTGCAGCGGAGCAAGGACCATTCTCTGTTTCTAATGTTGTGAAATGATTGGACAGACATCCGAGTCTGTTATTTTCAAAAGAAAAATCAGATTACCTTGTCAGCGGACAAGTCCTGATATCGAAAAACTAGTATGATGATTATGTAAAATTTGGGTAGTTGGAACGATTTTTAGGGGCGATTTCACTAAATTAATAGTGTAAAGTTGAATTTCGTTAACGTAGGTTTTTTAAGTATGAAGAAGTATACAAGGTGGTCCCATCAAAGGACTGTATATTCCAACATTTTTAAATTCATTAAAGTCATTGGATTCTTAATTAATCTGGTGTCTATATTTTGTATGTCACTGGCGACAGTCTGACGAGGGATAACACGGTCTTAGTGTCTATTACGTGAACAAAACAGCTACATCAGAAGAATTGCTCATAGTGATGTCATGGGGCCACGTGAGACGCGCGAACTAAGCGTTCTTGAAATCTGGTTTGTTGGACGATTGGTTAATGATGCAGCTGGCCCCTTTAACCTATTAACACCATTTTGTAAGCATGTTAAAAAAATTTAAAAATAGTAGGGACGCGTCCATGAGAGATAGCGGTAGGGCATTCGCTCTTGGGTCGCGAGAGCGCCAAGTGTGTGGTCCAAAGTAAAATTTTTCGAGTACCAAGCAGTATGGAATGGTACGTTGAGTCTTGGTGGAGTTTAAGTAAAGAAATCGGTAATTGAAGTTAGCGCAAAATTCGTCCGTCACTTCAAGATCGAAGGGCTGTCAATAACCGAATTCAAAAAGCCGCGCAAATCAACAATAGGATATACATGAAGCATTGACCACCAAAGAGAAAACAAAATAAACTTTGTCCTGATGAATCACATTACGAAAGTGGGCGAAACGTTAACTTTTCGTTCAACATTGACACGTCGTATACCGAAAGTCGCTCTATGGAAGCCTCCGCTCTGACACAAACAATTTTGTTAAATTTACGTATATTAATGATTGTCATTGCAATAGATATTATGTTAAGGTTCATCTTTGGGCGCCCAAGCCAAGTCGATTAGACCCATCAGTCTAACGTCGTAGCCCGAGCCCCTCAGTAAACACCAATGTGCTTATTAACCAGGGCAATGCTACGAATTTTCCATCCACAAAGTAGTGAATGTAGCTGAAAGGGCGGAGGTAGCTCTAGGGCCGTTTTTAGATATAGAGCCGTTGGACAACTCGACCACTCTAGAATCCATTTAAAACTCCTATGGGAAGCAAAGGAGTACATACTACCGTGTATAGTACATACATAAAGTAGTATGAACAATAACTGAATGATTCGAGTTGTCCCTCAAAGAGAAAAGGGAACTATACCGTGCAATAGACCAAACAGTCGCAATGCAGGAATCGACTGGGACCACCCCATACCACAAAAGTAAGTACAAAGTTATGGTATTACGTCATTTTTATTTGAATGAACATTGTGGATTTGAATTAACATTTTGGTTATCTTTGGATTGTACAGAAAATTTATATTATACGGCAAAAAATGACACAACATATGCTTTTTGAAATGTAATTGTAATCAAATGCAAACAGTCTACAATGTACTTTATTTGTCTGTACCCAACGTAACGCACTTATGTATTTTTTGTGTCAACCTGTTTTTAGATAGCTACTTATGCAGCTAAATAAATAAATAAATGAGCCCAAAATGATGACTTTTAGTCTGTATCTTTTGAGTTAATATTAAAATCGCCGTAACGGCATAATTGTGTGCCCATTTTATGCAAATTTTTACCTTGAAGAAGAATTGATTGAAGTGGATTTGCGATGACACAGATTTTACAAAATGGAAAAACTAAAATTTTTTTAATCCAATATGATACCGGGATAGGGTTAATTTGAAAATCATTGAGGCGAGTAACTTTAGCACATTTGCCATGCATTGATTAGTATTTACCATAAGGCCATAGCTATGTGCGCTACGTTTTTCTCTGATAGAAGCATCTGATGTGGTTTAAATTTCAAAAAAATATTTCTATAAATAAGAAAGTTAGCATTACGCAAGTGTTTACAATATGCGATATGTTTGCCTTTACTAGACCGCGCAGTCTGCGCATACACATTTTAATCGTCAAGATTTTTTTGGTTGAGTTGCCGTAAGCTATCGAATGCAAACAGAATGAACTAAATATCTTCAAAACTGAGGGTGTAGTTAGGTCTCGGGTGAACGGACGGAGAAAGTGACCATAATAGCGCCTTCCAACATAAGTTGGAAAATGCGCTAAAAAGGCGAACATTTAGAAGCAAACATATAATAGATATAGACTAAAGTAAAATCTCGATCAAAGAACCAATACCTTAAATCCTTACAAATGTTAGAAAGGTCGATAATTAAAACCCAAAGAACCATTGAAGAATTTCAGAACTATGCCAAAAAATCAAAGAAAGTTTACCTCGACACTGCAATAAACAACTTATTGTTTCGCGCAATAAAAATGTGCAATGCGCAACAAATAAATAAAGAAAAATAAAAACAAGTATGGGGATCTCATAATGTGAGAAAAGTTACCCAAAATTGCCGTTCCTTCAAGGAGCGTGAATAGGATGGCAATATTTACATTATGGTCCACTATCTGCTAAATTTAAAATTTACTGGGCTTCGGTAACCGTTTTTAAATTAGGTGCACTTAATATAGATATTATTATGGGTTCTACTCTATTAAGAATCAAAAATTTACTCAATCCTTCTGAATATTAAGTCGATCAGCATCTCCACTACCATTCAGGAAAAAAGGTATTGAGATAGAGATTGCACAGGGTCGGCTTCTGTTATCGAAGACGTTCCCGAATTTTCTTATAGAGAAGAAATCATTTAGATATAAGATAAATAAGTGTTCTGGTTGTTATATTAAATTACAAATTATGACCAATTAACAGGTCGAATATCGGAAACAGCAGTAGTTCTCATTTACCTAAGCAGGGGCGGTTTTTAGGGGGGGGGCGACAGGGCCGATCGCCCCCCCCCCTAAACATACTGCTCGATTGTTTTTTTATTTCATTAGGTTTACATAATAATCGAATTAAATAGACCTAATCACAAACCACCTGACGGAAAAGTAAAATTGAATAAAATACAAAATAATGCCGGCGGGGGCGGAATCGTGTATTGTCCAGACTGCGACTCACGACTGCACTCAGCACTGATTACCACCGCATAATAATGAATATGGTGTGGATTTATGGCATTTTGCTTATACGTTAATTTTGAATGCAAAATGTAATGGTTATTAGTTTTGGATCTATACGTTTCATGAAAAATGAAAGCGTTTGAGCCTATTTTTATTTTGCCTTTTTTGAACAATGGAGCTTTAAATGCTTTTTGTTGCTTTTTTTTAAAGTTCATGCTTAAATTGGATTGGGATAATATTTGGCAGGTTATGGGTATTCGGAAATTAATGCGGCAATAGATAGTTTAGTAGCTTTTTATTCCCCCCCCCCCCCCCCGAGTAGATGTATAAAACCGCCCCTGTACCCAAGTGAATATAATGGTGGATGGCCACACGCTTAGGTATTTGGACGAATAAATTCTTCACGTCGCTATCCAAATATTATTAATTCATAAAGGCCAATGCAATGTACCATATTAGTAAACACTAACCATGTAATTTATGCTACATTAAGCAACGTGATATAATTTCTCATCGCGCTGTATCAATTTACATTCACTATGTTCGATTCGGAGGTACTTTCTATTATTGAAACAGAAAGTAAACAGTTCTATTCGTTAGTAATTAAGAGATACGTTTTAAATAAAAAAGATTTAATAAGTTTTTTAGATCCGCTGAGATTATGATTAGAGAGTATGTAGTGTACATTCATTAAACGGAGACACGCCAGTTTTTTTACGGCGGAGTATATGTAGAGTAAACATTAATAACAGTAATTTAGTGAGAGATCTAGTTTTGTGAAGTACAAGAATTTGGAATTTGCGTGTATTGGAAATGCAAATGGGCAGGAATATATTTCGTGAAATTTGTGGCTCAGCCCGCCTTTACGTATAAATTTCTAAAGTATTTACGAATCGTTTTAATTAGGCATCGATTAAAAACGAAAGTGTCCCCTATTCGAAATTATGCTCGCTTGCGGGTTGGGAATATAAAATTAATACAAAAAAACTTACCCTTGCTGCAGCAGCGGGTTGGGGTTTGTGGGCAGATTGCGCAAATGTCGCGGCTCCCGGTTGCGATGCATACTCCAACTGCTGCTGAACTTGCGGTGCAAATCCGTACATTATATGTGCAGGTACCGGTGCAGCCGCATACTTCTGCTGTTGAGGAATAAAATTGACTTGGGGCACGTAATTAGCGGCTTGCTGATGAAAGTTGAGTAATTGTTCTGGTATTTGTTGTGCACTCCTTTGGGGTGAAAATTTATAGTAGGTCTCGTATTCCTGTTTATCGGAATCACTTCTTTCTTGCGCAACTGCATCGGGTTTATCCTCTGCGAGAATAGTCACAATAAAACTGACCAACACCTGCGGAAAAAACACCGATTAAAATCCGATAAGTGAAACGGGGCAAAACTTACAAGATACGATTTCATGGTACGGCGTTTTTGCAACAGATCGGTGAAAGTAATAATAAAGAGGAGCCAGTCCGATTTTATATATATGCAGTTTCCTGGCGATCTCCTTTCTCCAATACCACCCCACCTTTCCGATCTATTGTTTTTAATTTGTCTTCCAAAAAATCATGCTTCACATATTCGCAGAACGTTGTAATTAGTCTTAGGATGTATTGCAAGACAACCATAACGAGACATTAATTCTTCTATAACCGGAAGTTATTAATTTAGAGTAGGTAAGTAACGTAAAGGTTACACAAATCGAAACAAAGGTTGGCCAACTGCCAATTATATAAATCCTGAGACAGAATTGCCATTAAAGGATTACTTAGGAAATATCAGCGGCATTTTCTAAATGATCGAGGAATTTTTGCAGCTCACGCGGTCACGATAAAATCGCACTTGGCATTACAACCTATGTAATGTGTTAATTCGTCGACGAATATATAATTTACATTTTTGTTTATGTGCAATAATCCTGAATAATCCTTGAATAATAAAAGGTATGGTAGCAGCGTCCAATCCTTTGCTACCTAAATGCTATGGTATCATGGAGCCCTTTGCAGTGTGGTACAAGGATCAAAGATGCGGACTGGCCCGGGGAGGGCGGGTGGCGATAACCACCTGGCCTGTAGGTCATAATGGCCCCTTGGAAATTTATAAGTATGTGCTGTATTAGACAGCATTAATGTCAGTTTCTTGCACTATTAATAAATTATTAACACGTTTCTCTCATTGGGGTTGAAGTTAGGTTGTTCATTATAAAATTCTGTTTTTATTTAAGCGTTTTACAATGAATTTATCATTTTTTGTCGTATTTTGAAAGTGCTGAAACACAATTATAGGCGACGCGCCTCGTTTGGGTTATGTATATTTTGTTACTTTTAATTATCAGTTGCAATTAAAAAAAACTATATTCTATAATTGATTTTCGAGAAAGGAATACTTTAAAATGAAGCAAAAAAGTGTTTGTATTGCACCGCAGAGCTCCCCCCCCCCCCCACATGCCATCTTCATTACACTAATACCTATGCAATTCCACCTGGGCCGTAAGTACCCAGTCCGCCTCTGGGCAGCACCAAAGATAATTCTGCGGTACATTAAGCAAGATTTGTTGACCAACACTGTTCATATGAGCAAAGGCAATTAAAATTGCGAAAGACTACAGGATGTAGTACCCTCACTTCCTTTTTCGTTCAGAATCAATAACAATTTCGGTTGTAAAATCATTAACATCAAAGACACGAGTGATGAAACGAAAATTTCTTTAGCGTTCTGCATTGCGACATAAAAATTGAAAACTGAGAGTAATTTCACTTCTTTGACCAAATGATTCCTTGGTAGTAAGTTATACATATTATTATTCATCACAATTAAGACGAAGCTTTAATTTCAAATTAATAATAAAATGTAAATTGTTTGACACTTTCCCTTATCATTAATTTTTAAGTTGGGTTCCAAACCTATTGACTAAGTTTCATAGTATCGCAATTGGAGGATATTTCATTATGACTTGCATCGTTGTTTTCGACATTACGCTGTTACCTTTAACTGATGAATTATTTCCCCAGAGAGACGAAGGGAACTTGTATTTACAAAGCGGTAATAAATTGTATGACAGAATTCTCATCATTTAATTCTTGTTTGCAGATTTTTGCCCAACTCTCATGAAACGCACGGTATATACCTACTCACTACTATAAAACACTACAAACCGGTCTTTAAGTGTTGCAGTTTATACACTAATCTGTCTTCAGTGTACCAAATAATTTACAATTACGATGACAGTCAAAACAAGAAATTCATGCCAAATTGACCTGGAAACTGATAGTTACGGTGATCCGTTACAACAATTTCAATGTTCAAGTCCAATTTTGAACGAAAAAAAGTTGTTCGGTTGTATCATAGATACCTTGAAATGTTACGATTGTTACGGTACAATATTAAGTGTCAGTTTAATTTAAAAATCATTGTATAAGATGACAGTACAGAAACGGTTATTTAAACCTTCACAGAATAAGCTATGAGACAATTACCGCCTCCCAAATGCCTAAAAATATACAGTTTAAAATTAATTTAATTAAAAAATCCTGAATAGCTTCAAAACTACAATTTTTGCTTTTTTATCGTGAGGCGTACACCACTGGCCGTAATTTTAAGGTGTGTAGATTGGTTTCTAGCAAACTTTTTACAATTTTGGCTATCACAAGTTTGGTTAAAATAATATATTAAGATACAAGTGTATAATCAAGTCTTTGAAGCACGCGCAACGAGTGCAAGTACTTTAAAGACCAATTATACACGCGATACGCGTCAACTCGCCACGGGCGACTCGCCACCGGACCACTCGCCACCGACTGAGTCGCCAACAGGACAACTCGCCAACGGGACAACTCGCCACCGCGACAACTGGCCAATGCGACAACTCGCCAACGGACGACTCACCACTGCGCCACTCGCCAACGAAATATTTTTCCCTGTTTAATGTGTCGTTCAAATAACGATGTGATTGTCAAATTTTCTGTTCAAATCATAATTTGCAGAAGATGTCGTTATATCAAAATGCAGTAATAGAAACAGGTATAGGCGGTTGGGTCTTCATTCAAATATTGACTACTACAATTTTTCGATAAACTTTTTTACAAAATTAGAGAAATTGACTATTGCATTTGTGGGATGCATTTGTATGACATATTAAACAGGGAAAAATATTTCGTTGGCGAGTTGTCGCAGTAGCGAGTCGTCCGTTGACGAGTTGTCGCATTGGCGAGTTGTCGAGGTGGCGAGTTGTCCCGTTGACGAGTTGTCGCGTTGGCGAGTTGTCCCGTTGGCGAGTTGTCGCGTTGGCGAGTTGTCCCATTGGCTAGTCGGTCGGTGGCGAGTGGTCCCTTGGCGAATTGACCGTGTCCCTTATACACGTGTTTCTTATAGTATTTTTTATTATACCTACAGTATAATTTAAAAATAGGAAATACAATGAGATCATATTGACGTTATACTCGAATACACGTCTAATTAAGTGGGGTGGGTCGGGTGGGTGTTCGTAATTTCACGATTGCCATGGAAATGTCACTTCACGTTTGCTTATAAAAATCATCGTTTTGTGAATTAAACGATTTCCGTTGAAAAAGATAATACACCGCCCATTAAATCGCTTGTTGTAAAATCCAAATCTAGTAAAGCCTATTATAAAGAATATGAAAAGTTGTTTTCATCCTGAATAGGAAGTTACTTACGAATAAAGTCCTAAATGCATCGATAATGCTGGCATATATGAAGGAAATGTCAAAGGTATTTAAATCTTCTGTCTTTTGGTCAAAACTGCAAACAATGCTGCGATTAAAAAGTGGAACAGATTTGACAGCATACCCTAAATTACGCGCGTTTGTGAAAGCTTCAACCAAAGGATAGGTACAAGCCAAAGAAATGTTCTGCAGAAAGCGACCTAAGAGATTTTTTTATTTCACGTGAAGTGTCGATACTTAGCAACTTTAAAGCACGTGTGTTTTAAAGGCCTTTGTTCACGCGCATTTGAATGATTAAAACGGAGATTGTGATTCAGGTATAATTAAAAAAATGTGAATGTTTCAGACAAAATTTCCATCCTGTACAGAAAACATCAATCACTGCCGGAGTAGCTAGTGAAATAATATTATTAATATTTTTCTCTTTATCGCTATAGATTTCGAAACCTTTGGCTCGTTTCGATAAGAATGCAGGGTTTTGAGACAAATGTTGGTTAGTTGGTGTATACGCGGATTAAGGCGGTTTCTCACGGCTCGAGACTCGGCGAGTACGGCTTGTAACTCGCGAATTCAGGCGTTGTGGAAATGAGTTGGCTTGGTTTGGAGTTCCGGTCAGTCCAATAGGGGATTTTGGGATTTACTCGAGTAAGGTGGGTTGACTAAGTGTTGAAAAGTGTGCATTTCAATAATTTGACGATTTGAGCGCGATGTGAGGGGGTGGAAAGGTCACAAACTTAAAAAAAAGTTACCTTGGCAATCTCAAGCACGTTGAAATTTTTTTAACTTCAAATGTAACGGAAGTAATATAATCTGGCGTTTCACATCAGTTAATGTAAGTTGTTTTTGAATGCTTTGCATTGTATAAATTAGTGATCGGTTATTTTTAATAATTTTGCATATTTGATTTTGTTTAAACTAACTTTGATATTCCTATAGAAATCGACCTATCAGAAATATTTGCATGACCAGATTTGTATTTTATTTATTGATAAAAATCAGATCCAAGTAAAGAATTTGGATATTTTATTTCAGTGTCTTATGTCGTATGATGAGTTCTGTCGGACCAGAACGTTAGAAATCTTAGAAGGAGATAAGGGGCCAAACTTCCGCGAAGGTAAGGGGAATAAAAAAACATTATTATTACTGAGTTAGCCGTGGATGAATTGGGATTTCTGCCAGTTCCGTAGAGATTTTATTTTATTTTATGCAAGTGGGTCTTCAACCGTCGTAAATGGAAGTAGCCCGTTACACCACCCAACGCGGAAAAGTTTGATTATCAAATTTGACATATCCCACTTTACAAGAGCTCAATTTCACGATCAATAAAAAAATATCAACAGAACCATTACTTTTCGGTCTTGTGTAAGATATTCATAGTAGTAGTGGTCTTATACATTTTGTTTGTTTACGCCTTTAGATGCGTGTGACGATAAAAATTTTGGGACGTCCAATTTCATTGCTCTTATTAGCAGAACCTACAACAAAAAATTCGATCAAATTACTTCACTAGTAAGGAAGTTAGTTGTCTATTGCGCATGCGTGGTTTTGTGGGGAAATTATAACTGGAAAATCATTGATGATAATTAAAATACCACCATACCTGTATCGGTAAGCGGTAAATTAAACTTTTCATTTCTTCTAGTACACGCTAATTTTCTCGAGCGATTAGGCGATTGATAAAAACTATAAAATTCTAATCAGCAGAAAGTAAATTCGTCCTACACAATAATATTTAGACGTTGCCGGGTTGTACACGTCACCACACCACCACAACTCGCTTATA